CGGGGCGGGCCCGAGGCCGGGGCCGAGCGGGGCGGGCCCGAGGCCGGGGCCGAGCGGGGCGGGCCCGAGGCCGGGGCCGAGCGGGGCGGGCCCGAGGCCGGGGCCGAGCGGGGCGATCTTTGCCCGCTGCCGCGGTCGGGCGCTGCCCGGTGCCGAGGGAACGGAGCACGAAACCAGCTCCAGGCTCATCCAGCAAGACAGGCACACAGAGGTGACGTTTCGTGGCTCTCACTCTTGACTGAAGTAGCGTTTGAGACTTTTTCGAGTCTGATGAAAAAGACCTGCCAGGTCTGCCCCCTCGAAAGTGCTGTTAAAGATAACAATTAAAATTAAATTTATGATCCATTTCTGATGCAGAGAACATGTGAAGAAATATGACGAAAGACAACCTTTGACATATTTAAATATTTATTTTATAGAATCACTTTATGTATGAAAAAGTAGTTTGATAAAAAAGCTGCATCCTGATAGATCCAAACAGCTTACTGACTTCTCAACACAAGAAACCTTGCAATAAGCCTGAACACACTGAACAGTTTCCTGTTGACCTGCAAGAGAACATGGTCCTTTTTAAGTTCCATAAACACGCTCCTAGCTTTGAGGGCACTGCCTCCTTGGCACACTTAGTGTGACCAGTGACCACAGTGTGAAACTTCTACCGTTTTGTTTTGCTGCCATCACTATAAAGTGTTGTAGTTTTTAAACTGCAGTTTGCCACAATTGCTGCCCAGTCCTTGCTTGGTCTGTGTCATCTTACAAGAGGCTGCTTCCAATGGAAGGGAAAGAAAAGTTCCAACAGAAGAATTCAGAAGCAGTGCTTGAAGACAAAATCACCTCAAGAGCTCATGAAGTTTCACAGGTTCCTGCTACAGGACATTAAAACCAAAAATCTAACAAGTATTTTTAAAAAATACAGATAGTAGGAACCGCCAGAACTATTAATGACAAATAATTAAACCACAGGATGCCTCAATTCTAGTTAGCAGAAGACCTAATAAAGAGGTAGAACCTACTATTTCACAAATCCTCTTCTGTTTTCTGTGACAGGCACACCTGTAACACTGACAGCCTATTATAGAACAGCCAGTGTGCTAGCTGAGCTTTGATCCAGCTCCCTGCAGCTTTCTTATTTCCATACCTCATGTGTACCTTAGTACACATGATAGAAAGGAGAAATACAAGAATGAGCTGCAGGACTCTAGTAAGTAGCAGTCAGTTTGTTTGCTCCTCAGTGGAATTACCTAAAATCATGCTAAGAGGACAATGTACTGAGGTAAACACTGAACGGTTTGTTAAAATGCAGGGAACACGGTATATTGATACCTGTGCTAAGTGGCATACTTGAATACACTATAGGCATTTGCCAGGAAGTTAAATAACTAGCTGAAGCCCACAGTACAGCTAAGCACAGCCGTTTAGAAACCTGAAACTTCTGCTAGGTCCACAATCAAGCCAGTAATCACAGCTCCAGACCATACAATGGCATTCTATTATTATTCCCTTAATTTGGCCTCATACTCTAGCACTAAACCAGCAAGTACTTTTTATAAGCGTAAACAGTGATTTTGCACAGTGTTTTTTTTAAGGTATTCTTCAGGTCAGGTAGGGTTTGCACATGGCCAAAGTCTGGGCAAATAAAAAAGTAAACGCATGGAGCCTCATTCCTTCCACTTTCAAAACTAAGTTTACTTTCTTTAAAAAGCAGCAGCAGATGATACTGCTAAAACACTGAACTTCTGCTTGTGAGTGTGCAATCTCCTCTTAGTGACTGCATGAGCTATTTGTTGAAATATTAAGGAGTAAAAACAAACACTGATCTTGACTTTATGGTAATTAAAAGATTATCTGAAGAAGCTGGAGTAACCATGGTCATACAATTAAAGGTCCTCAAATGATACCATCAAAACCCTCCTCAGTATTCCTCCCCCATCACACTGCCTCAGAAACAGGGCGTGTTTTGCCAACAAAAGCTTCTCCAAATCATGTGACCAACTACTGGCCAAGTGGGAGGAACAATTACCATCTTGTCAGGCAAGTATTTCTTCAATATCAGATATCAAGGGAATAGATCATAATCATCAACTATTGCAATTCAGTTGGCATGAGAACCAGGTCTGACAATTACCTCCACAGGAGGTACACATGGATGACAGGGGAGAATGTACATTGTAAGCAACTTATCCAATTCTCAGTAAGCTTACCTTCATATAGGGCTTTCTCATGACAAATACTTTCAGCCTTGTTTACCCTAGTGATTCCAGGATTTCTGTATTCTGGCCCATTGGAGCTTTAGTCTGGCAGGCCACAGAAGCTCTTTAATAATTCTGTTCCCAGGAAAGATGAGTGAAAACTTCCTTCCTCTTGTCACCATGGGGACTACAGTCTGCTCTAGCACTCCAGCTTCAAGACAGTGGCTTCTAATAACCCCTAAGGGTAGTAAGAACACTCTCACTCCCAGTACTGCATTTGCCTCAGATGTGTCCAAGCACAGGTTCACATGACATCAGATGCAAGTGTGAAGTGACTCATACACACAGGACTGTGGTCATCTTATGAAGAGCCACTAGACAAAAGAACAAAGATTCCTCTTGGAATGTCCCAGGCTGCAGCTGAACAAACCACACCTTATTGCTTTTCTAAACAGAGTCTGTCTACCTCCTTTGTAGATACCACTGGTTGTCTCCCAGAAGAATAAAATCACCAAAAAACTCCACAACTCCTGCCTTATGCAAACTAGCTAAGGCACAGGTGTTAGTGGCTGTTCAAGAATTATGACATCTTCTTAGCAGGGCACCAAATAGTGTCAGGATAAAGCAGACAATGGACAGATTTAAATCTATATTAAAAAAAAAAAAAAAAGACAGCATTAGATTGGAATTCTCCATACGTGGAACATACTAGCATTGCATGTGCAGCAGTCTGATGGATAAGAGGGTGGGTCTACCTGCTTTTGGCACAGTAACAAGAGCTGACATGAGAAAATAACCCCATTAGTGGGTCTGATCATTTTACAGATGACAAACATGAACAAGGTAGGGAGATCTTGTTTTGGAAGTGGACACTAACCGGGTTGGATCTTGCTGAAGGCCAAACACTCCTCCCACACTCACAACATTGTGTCTGTTCTCAGGGTCACCGTAACTCAGGGTTACCTGTAAAAACAAGTAAGTATTCAGAACATGTAACACTAATGCAGAAAACCAGGGTGGAGATAGCAGGGTTATTAATGAAGTACCAAGAAAGTCTCTGAAGATGCTGTCTAATCTGAACATGGATCACATTTGGAGGACAGCAGTTAGTTCTGACATAAGCAAGATTGGCACTGAATGGCACTAAGGGCAATGTGGGAGAATTCACAGATCTGAAAGTTGCATTGCCCTGAAGGACAAGATGAGTTTCAACTGTAAGCTTTGTAAGGATATTAATCCTGCTACTGCCTGTGCCTTCATTAAATAACACGTTCATCCTCACCAGACATTGCCTGAAGTCTGCAATATTTTAGCACAGGAGGAAAATATAAATATTTGCATACTAAATGGCATGGAAAGGATTGTCATGTTTCAAACCTGGAACAAAATTCGTATCTTTGGAACCTCAAATGAGGGCTGTTCCTCCACACAAGTACTGCATTAAGCATTTTTCAGGTGTCAGGTACAAGAAGACTTATGTTTTCCTGGATTTTGGGTTAGCTGTCTTCATCTCATGGAACCAACGATCACCAATAAAACAATGTATTCATGCTGCAGTCAAATTCACTAACATGAAGGGAGATGGCATCACGGTGGAATTTGGTCCCAAGCACACGTTTCTGCTGCCTAATACATTTGCCAGAAAAATATAACCACGCAGCATGCAGGGGCAAAACCACACTCCTGTTTACTTATGGTGCCAAGCAGTGTGATGCAGGCAACACTGCTGGATGGCCTTGTGGCTCCATCTGCTGCTTGGAAGGTAAAATGTATCCCAGCAATTAAAAAACAACTTGGTTTTTCAGAAGCAACTTTAAGTTTCTTGAGATTCAGACAAATTATTCTTAAAAATGATCAAACGTTTAATTATGTTTTAGGTATTGGAGAAGTACTTATATAGCTGCCTTTTTGAACAGCATGAATTAAGACAAAGTTTGTTAGGCAAAATCAGGAAGACTACTTAGCAAACTTCTACACTTTCTGCTACTGCTACACATAAAAAGTGAGTCTGGAGATATCTTTCTTTGCTGAAGAGTGCTAAGTCTACACAGATCTGATCTTTCTGATCAGACTAAGGCATAATTATAAGAACAGGACATGAGGCAAAACCCTACCTGCTGCAGCACAGACTCGCCTTGCAGTCTCTGCAGATTTTCCAGGTGGGAATGGAACAATGGGCTGTGTAGCAGCTTTACTTCCAGCAGACCTTCGATGATGTAGCCAATAGTGCAATCGTCAGGAAGACGCACTCTTTCTGCAGTACTAATGAAATTGCCCAGGCTGTGACAGAGAGAGACAAGGAGACAAGCCAAAAGTGTTTCAAAGCCTCCCAAACATGTATTGATGGAGCCCAGTTAGGAGCAGTGCTTACCTGGCCCAGGGACTCATCTTCAGGGCAAGACCTCGGCTGATACAGAACCCAGCTCCACCTGTGGCAAACCAGAAT